ATTTGAATTTCAAAGTAATCCTTTAAGCAAGCCTTGCAGTACACATGCCTGCAGTCCAAAAAGTACATACATTCACTTCCCAGCTTTTCAGAAAAACAAATATTACATGCATGCATTTTACTGTTGAAACATTTTTCTTGTTGGGCATGGTCAAAATCTAATATTTCCCTAATCAAGCTGGATAAAGACTCAACATCTTGCACTGCTCTTGCATCAAGGCTTTCTTCTTGTGCAGTGGCACCGTCTGTTGCACCATAGCAAGCTTCCTCTTTGTCTGTCCTTCTTTGCTCTTTTTCTTGTCCACATATCTTTGGCTCATACGGAGAAGTAATGTTCAAATAAGTGAGTGCTTCTTCCTTGAGAAACTGTATCCAGGCAAACAAGACCACAGAACCTCTGTTTTCCTCCCATATGTTGTCTAAGTGCTTGCAAAGTGCAGTGAGCTAGGAGAGAGAACATAGACAAAAGAGGAATAGAAAATCATTCCCCTCCTTCCACAACTCCTTGGGCAACAACAGTAAGTGTTTAAAAAATGTCAGATTTCAAGAGTGAGGCATGTGTACATTAAGGCTGCTACAATATACACTTCTGAAACAGGGGAGACCCTTACACACTGATTCAGGACACATTAGGGTCACCATAATTCAGAGACAACTTGAAGGCACACAACTACAGTAACAATGTCCCAGTTGTGTGCATAAAACAAATGAAAAATAATTTCTGAAACAATTTCTAAACGGATTGGCAATATCAATCAATCAATATTAATAACAGTAAGTTTCCTTTAAGAAATGTCAGATTTCAAGATAAAGGCATGAGTACATAAAGGCTGCTACAATATACACGTCTGAAATGAAAAGAAAGACTTATACACCCTGATTTAGGAGACATTTATTAATTGTCCTGCTTGCTGGAAAATAAATTGTAACCTAAGTGCATGACTACTATTTTGGGCTCAAAAGCAAAATCTAGCTGTGATGAATGCCTCCTTGGAAACATCCTTAGAGATAAAACATAATGCCTTCATTACACCAGTTGGGACAAAGAACACAAAATATGATGTGCAAGCCTAGAAGTGCTTGAAAGTGACACACTGGAAAACCAAAATGGCAAGGAACAGCCCAATGTTTTAGAAAGGAGGATTCCCTACTTCCTATATTAACCTATCAGAATATGTCATGCAATTTTTGAGTTGAGAGCTTTTGGCAAGAATGTGGTTTTAAAAGAGTTAAGAGGAGATGGTGAGACTTGGGAGCAGCTGTTACCATTGTATAAGGCAATGGAAAATGTGGAAAGGGATGAGTTTTGTTATCATGGTACAAGGAATCACAAAAGGACTGCACCCTAAACTGTGTCCCACTTCAAACATCCTGTACAGCTTTGGTAATAGTCCTTCTAGGCTGAAAATGCTGCAGTTGAATGCTAGATCAATAAACAGTAAATCATCATTCATTCAGGGGTTGATCCTTGATGAACATATCGATCTGGCCTATATTCCTCAAACCTGATTGAATAAATTAATAAAATGATGCTGCTGTGACACCCTGTCCCTCTGAATCTACACACCTATTGCTTCTGCAATGATTTGTGAACAAGAGAATGGGGGAAAATGACATATACACATTCCTCTCACTCTTTGGTAACTAACAGCATTAAGTGAAATAAAATCACAGATAGTCATGAGATATATTCACACACCATTCAAAAAATGTTTTTTAGTGCAGAATGACTGATCTCTTCTGTTTTATAAAGTACTGTATTTCCAGTATTATCAATGCCAGATGTTGAAATGTTGAGATCTCCTAATTTAAACCATGAATGTTCAGCTCAGTAATCTGATTTTCAGGTGCACTGGAGTATTATTTAAATAGAATGAAATGAGAGGCATGAAATAATTTGGATAACTGGAAAATTCATTTTAAAAAGATTTGGGTATGCTGTACCCAGATCATCTCGAAGACCACATGATGAAATAATATTTTAATTGTATTCATATTTGGTATCACACATCACACAGAATTTTATCTGTCTGACTTCATGTATATACACGTGCATCAAGATGAGCAAAGGACTACATGTGACTCTCCTCAAAACTATTTTTCATGCCCTCCACCCCTCCAGGCCACTCTTTCCTAGCCAAAAAAGGAGAATTCCCTCTTCTGGAATTGATTTTTAAATGTAAAAAAATAAATAAATCACTGTTTCAAAAGCAGATGGGAACTTCCAGTCACTTCCTCTTTTTTGCATTTTTAGCAAACTGTGCAGCCCCAAAGGGTTCCAAGAGCAGAAAGTATGGTGTACAGGTTTGACTGTTGGACTAAGACTCTAGGAGACTAGGTTTCATATCCTCACTCATAGATGGAAACCCACTCCTTTATCATCAGAGGAAGGCAACATAAATCCCCTATGAATACATCCAGCCAGCAAAACCCTACAGTAGGGTCACCGTATGTCAGAGTCAATTTGAAGGAACATAACTACGGTAACAATATCCTAGTTGTGTGCAAACAACAAATGAAAAATAATTTCTGAAACCATTTGTAAACAGGCAATATCAATCATGCTGAAATTAACTGAAAGATAAGAACTGAGTGTAGCTTTTAGAACAATTAAAAAGATTTTAAAGTCACAAAATTTGACTGAAAGTATGAAAGAGGAATATGAAATTTTTATAGGTGAATTATTTCTCTGGCAAAAATATGGCATTTAATTATGAAGCTTTTTGTAAGTAGCCTTTCATTTGTGGCATCCTGAGAACAATCAACCACACCATAAATCTTCCTCTCCCCTTTATTTTTTTTTCCTTTGAACTATTCTGGTGAACTACATGAAGAAGCATTAAAGATTTGTGCCAAACCTGTGTCTGGGAGAGCCACTTGCTACTGAGGGTGAATGCAGGTGGAGACGATGACGGGTAGTCTGCTGGAAATTCAAAATTCAGCACTATTGGAGGTAAAAAGCAAACTGTGCACTCAAACTTGTTCAGAAGCGTTTCTGTCTGGTTGCCTGAAACAAAATACATCTGATAGTGTAAGGAAGATGCAATTTTAAGGGTATGCTGCTTAACTGAATTATTTGATAGGATTTTAATGAAGTGTTTCATCTTTTGAAACATGCGATCTGGAGTAATGGTTTCAAAATACAGGAAAAGAGCTGTTCGACAGTGGAATACGCTGCCTCGGAGAGTGGTGGAATCTCCTTTGGAGGTTTTTAAACAGAGGCTAGATGGCCATTTGTCAGGAGTGCTTTGACTGTGTATGGCAGGGATTGAACTTAATGGTTCACTTATGTCATCAACAAGTCTAACTCCAGACATGCTTACCAGCTGCTATTCCAATTCTAGTGCTACTGGAATGAGGCACAGAAGATCTTGCCTCTGTAGAATGAACCTATAGAAACTCTGTAGAATGAATAATAGGGGTTGTTGCCCTACCATTTTATTTACTGTTTACACAGCTGATGACACCTGTTATCTGCTAACAAATTAAAGTTGTGACCTTCCATATATAACATTTGTCATTTACACAACCTATATAAAAGCTATGTTGTGTGATTTCAATGCTAGGCCTTAGTTATATTATCTAATCCTAGGCTGTGAAAGCCATCTGACCACAACACAAACAAAATTGTGAGTGGGAGTCCTGGTTGCTACCAGACCCCAGAATGAATGCAGTTTGATACCAGTTTAAGTGCTGTGGCTCCATCCTATGGAATCCTAGGATTTGTAGTTTGTTGTGTCACCAGAGCTCTCTGACAGAGAAGGCTAAGTATCTCATGAAACTACAATTCCCAGCATTCCATGGCACTGAGCCATAGCAGTTAAAGTGATGTCAAAGGGCATTAGTTCTTCAGGGCAGATGCAGCGCAAGGCCTGATTCCCACTTACAAATGAATCAGTTTGTGATCCAAATCGATGGATTGGTTCAACAGTGGAGCATGGTTCACACTACATTTGCCCCAATTGCATTTTCTTGCTGTAAAACAACCCACCTGTGGTTCAGATTGACAAATGAATCAATTCAAAATGGACCCGCTTCTGCCAGCCAAAGGGCAAATTTA